GGAGATTGTATTTACAATCAAATATACAGACTAATGAATAATCTCAGTTGTGATTGGTTTACTTGAACGTATTGACAGCATATAGCAAAGACAGATTGCAAAGAACAGTGGTTGCAGTTATTAGAAGGGATAGTCACCAAAAGTACAAAACAAATTGAGTCAACACCTCTGTGTCCATAAAGTGTCACTAAACCTACAAGAATAAAATCTGTCTGTATACGCAGTAAAGCATCCTGGTCATACTCACGCTGGCACCTGGGAGGGGTTAATCCTCAGCTTTGTGTAAAAACCCTGGTTGATCCTACCAGCCTCTGCTCCTCCCTTCTTTCACTGTCCCCAATTCAGCTACTAATTCTAGAGAGCAGCAGTGGCAACAATGAGCATGCTCTTCTTTATCTGTGTTTCAATACAGGCCATTTCCTCTGTGATTGGAGCTGTGCAGGTCACATGACTGTGCCATCATACATGTGGGCATATATGCAGATGCTGAATGACAGCCCACATCCTCCCTCCACCTCCATGCCCAATAGCTAGCAAAATACACAACGGGTGGGATAGTGAAAGATTATCATAGATGTGTAGCGCCGCCCACATCATGTTGTTCATGAATAATTGCAAAGCTTGGATTTCATATATGTACTTGTATGACCATTTTATACAAGGATGTAATGTTAAACCTATATTTTTCTACTGTACCATCAAAGACCTTTTTTTTTTCTGGGTCCTGTCATATGACTGGGAAAGCACCATCTGGACACAAGGGTCACAGTTCATGCTTTCTCTTCTGATGTACAGAGATGCATAAGAGGGGAATGGAAGTTCCACCTATGATCTGTTTCAGCACTTGGCTCAGCATTAAATATGAAGGATGTGACCACTGTATATAGCTATGGTGCACAGGAATGTATTTTTTTTTTTTTTTTTAAATAAACTACGCAAACATGAATAGCATACTTTGGCAGAACATATAAAGGTTTTCATGGGGTATGTGTTTAGTATCACTTTAAATTGTAGCCTCAATTTAAATATTAAGTATATAAAATATTTGTGACGCTGTATGAAAGTTTCCAAAAATGTCAAAGTTTATGAGAAAAAAAAATATCACCCAAATGGCCCTGATCAAAAGTTTACATACCCTGGAATGTTTGGCCTTGGTACAGACACACAAGGTGACACACACAGGTTAAAATGGAAATTAAAGGTTTATTTCCCACATCTGTGGCTTTTTAAATTGCAATTAGTGTCTGTGCATAAATAGTCAATGAGTTTGTTAGCTCTCATGTGGATACACTGAGCAGGCAAGATACTGAGCCATGGGGAGCAGAAAAGAACTGTTACAGATCGGCATAAAAAGGTAATGGAACTTTATAAAAGAATATAAAAAGATATAATGAATATGCCAGTCAGTACTGTTCAATCACTTATTAAGAAGTGGAAAATTTAAGGATCTCTTGATACCAAGACAATGTCGGGTAGACCAAGAAAGATTGCAGCCATAACTGCCAGAAGAATTGTTCGTGATACAAAGAAAAACCCGCAGGTAACCTCAGGAAAAATACAGGCTGCTCTGGAAAAAGACGGTGTGGTGGTTTAAAGGAGCAAAAAAATTAGCTGCATGGTCGAGTTCCCAGAAAGAAGCCATTACTGCGCTAATGCCACAAAAAAAGCTTGGTTAAAAAATGCCTGACAACACTTTGACATGTCTTATAGCTTCTGGCACACTGTAATCTGGACTGACGAAACCAAAAAAGAGCTTTATGATCACAACCATAAGTGCTATGTTTTGAGAGGGGTCAACAGCAACAAGAATACCATCCCCACTGTAAAGCATGGTGGTGGCTCACTCATGTTTTGGGGTGGGGTGGTGTGAGCTCTAAAGACACAGGGAATCTTATGAAATTTGACATCAAGATGAATGCAGCATGTTCTCAGAAAATACTGGCAGACAATTTGCATTACTCTTCACAAAAGCTGAAGGTTCTAGAGTAGCCATCAGTCTCCTGACCTTAATATCATTGAGCCACTCTGGTGAGATCTCAGAAGTGCAATTCATACATGACGACAAAAGACTTTCCATGACCTGGAGGTATTTTGTCAAGACGAATGGGCAGCTCTACCACCTGCAAGAATTTGAGGCATCAAACTATGAGACAGACTACTATAAACTATTACAAAAGACTGCACGCTGTAACTGATGCTAAAGGATGAAATACACAGTAATGGCAATTAAGGGTATGCAGACTCTTGAACAGGGGTCATTTTGTTTGCTTGTTGCCATGTTTTGTTTTATGATTGTGCCATTCTGTTATGGCCTACAATTGAATACGAATCCCATAAGAAATAAAAGAAATTTGTTTTGCCTGCTTAACCATGTTGTTTTCTTTAAAAAATGGTACATACATTTCCAATCCTTCAAGGGTATGCAAACTTTTGAGCACAACTATATACATACATGGTGAGCTTCACAAGACTAAATGTTATTTTGAAAACCATTTATCTAATATGGTAAAAAAAAAGAGCCATTTTTAATGTAATTACAGCGTGGCGCTAATACAGCACTAAATGTAAAAATAGTTACCCCCAGATAGATAATAATACTGGAGATTAAATAAAACTAACTGTACATTGGCATACAGAACCAAGCAGCGTGCCTATCTTTGTACACTGTGTAGCACGCAGCATGTTTGCCACCATTAATTCTCCCTTCCCCACTTGTCAATGTTTTTTTTTTTTAAGGACCTGATGTGGAACTAGTGTCTTTCAATTCCCATCAGGATCCTCCCACCCAGCTTCAAAAATCCTCAGATGCTATGTTTGGATGTCCATAAGGACACTCCAGTCTCACTGCAACTCCACACATGGTGCTGACCAAAAATTCATGTACCTGTTTCCATATCTGTTGCCCGCAGTGACATTTGTCGTGCAGAGGCTGGATGGAATTTGAAACAGTGTTGTGGATCTCTGTCCACTACTAACCGTTACGGTCTGTGAAGTATGAATAACATGAAGAAAGCGGATTCTTTTCATCCCCACCTTAATCACCAGGTATAAATACCATTGAACCTTACTGGTAAGTCTTCCTGAAGAATAATGCAAAATCCCACTACCCAGAATTCAGGCATTGTCACAGCAGAAGAGATGGGACAAGGTGACTCCAAAAGCAAATGGCATCTGCACATTTAGTTAGGTATTTAATAATAATTATATTGCTGGGTGTTTTTATATTTATTCTATCCATCCTTATCTGATTTAATATTACTACAATATCAAGACAATGCAAGGTAAAATTTAAAAAATGTAATCACAAAAATAGTAACTAGCTAAAAGGTTTACGTTCAATTCTATTTAAACCCAAAAGCGATTAGTCAAAAGATGACAGCCAACTAGAATCTGCTTTCCAGAGTCCTAAGAGCATCTTTTGTGACCAAGGCAATCATCATTTATACATATCTGTACAGTCCCTCCATATTTGTGCATTTTTTACATATACAGTATCTGACTAATTAATTTAAACTGCAGCACTGTCCAGACTATGGACATTAATGTATTTATATATTCTTAACAAGCATTAAAATACTTTAAAACAAGCCCTGATCTCCCCAGCTGTTTGTACTGTGGTTTAATTCTTCCTCAAAGATCACAACAAAACATTTCTGGATGGAGGTCACCCATAATTTTTAATGTTACCATATTGGAAGTTCAGTTTACAACCCCAATTTGTCGATTGGGTTTACTAGAAAGATTATACCCACCGCAACCCAGACTTTACTGAGTATCTTGTTCTTTGGTATATGCCTGGAAATCCATTATTCCTAAATAGAAAAATGGATCTACTTCCCTAATTATACTGGGAAAAAATAATGAATGCTTTTACATTTGCAAGGCCACATATGATCGTTGAGTAGGACTACAGCAACTCTGCAGTGATAACTGGGTGCACCATACACTGGTCGTGTTGATGAGCACTCTGGGTGTGGGATGAAGGACATACCGCAAGTTCTCTTCCAGACATTCCCTCTCTTGCTTCTTGAGTTCCCTATTGCTCCTGTGTAAGCCTTGTTTAGTTGCCCTATGGACTGGGTGAGATGGCACAGTGTTTTCAGCAGCTGCCTGTTTCTGATATAGTGTTTGCTTGTAATGTCATTTTCTATATGCTGAACAATAAGGGCTCATTCATACCAGATGTTTTGTCTTTTTTTCAACACTGCAGGTTGTGATGCGAACCACCATATTGCAATGCTGCTATGGTCAATATAACCATATTAAAAATTTGCTTGTGGCATTTCAATAGTCTGTCAAAAAAAAAAGTAAAAAGTATGATGTTCTGGGATTGGCATATTGGCACGGTGTCTCGTAGCACATAACTGTGGCTGTGCATTCAGCATGGCTCACTACTGTAAAGCATCCCTAAAAAGAATTAAAAAAAAAAAAAAAAAAAAAAATCACAACAAATACTCTTAGGGCCCATTCACATCATTTGCTCAAGGAACAGTGCCCAGCACAGGTCCAACGCAAAGACAAGGCAATTTGCCTTGTTCGCTTTGGTGTCAGTTAAAGTTGTGAAGCAAACAACCACATCTTGACATTTCTGTGGTGAATAGAACTTAATGAAATGTAAGTTGTGACATTTCAATAAAGTTCTTACAAAAAATTTTTTAATAATGCACTGGGATTGACACTTTTCGTTGTTGTGTACTCTCAGCAGCATGAATCAACACAGCTGCTGGTGTGAATCAGCCCAAAAGTCTGATTTCAGTTGGATTTTAAACAACTTTGAAAAACCTGCTGTGTGTTTAATTTAGAGGGTTAGCAGGCCGCCAGGATTCTGGTGAAATAGGAAAAAAGTGCAGATTTAAGTGCTTATGTTATGAACTTTGAAGATGAATATAGAGGTGAATGGGGGCTTGTTTAAAATGCATCCACTGCTTGTTCAAATTATGTCAATGCTTTAGTGTGCATCCATAAATAATAGTAGTGTAAGATTACAAAGTAAGACTCACCTAATAGCTTGTGCAGAAGAAAGTGAGTCATTTTGAATGGTGCAAGTTAGCCCTTGGTCAGGAACTGTTTGTCCAGACATTAAGTGGACTGTCCGATAAAGTTGTTGGTTGGGTGAGGATGAGATGCCTGAGAAGGAGTCACTGTCCTCAACATATCAGATGGGAGCAAGGACACCTGGGGTTGGCTAGGTTCCACTAGTTCTTTCACTTTTGAAGACTTTGGTGATTTGTGAATGGGGGTTGAGCTGTTTCTTGATCCAGTGTTGGAAGGCCCTTTGGACGCTTTTGCATTATTTCGATTTGGAGTAGAAACTGGAGAATGCAAAGACAGACTTGAGGACAAACTTCCTGAGTATTCCGCAGGGCTTGAGTCATCTTCATCAATATAAATAAGATCCTTTGGCATCTCCTTGAACTGATAGACAAGGCGTTGGCCTTCCACCTTCGCTAGAATACCTCTTTGGTAATAGTACCTAAAAACAAACAAAACAATACATTCAGTTCCTGTTTTGGATTATTACCATGAAGTAGATGCTTTTCAGTTGGGTTATCTGTTTTAGGTTCAGTGAAAGCAACCCAGTGACCAGTGCCATAAAAAAACCCTAACTTTTCCTCTTTTAAAGTGCAGGAGTGCACTATGATACTAAGAACTGTGTTCTATATGAAGTGTGGGAAAAATTCCTGCAGCTCCTCAGTTTTAAGATTAATCTACAACACAGGATGCCAACTTTGTTTTCAAACACTGAGAAGTGGATTGGACAGTCAAAACATTTGTGATGTACAAGAGAACAATCTATTTTTAAGTATTATTATACAGGATTTATATAACGCCAACAGTTTGCTCAACACTTTACAATATAACGGGAGACAATACAGCAACAATACAGTTCAATACAAGAGGGTTAGGAGGGCCCTGCTCAATGGAACTTACAATCTAAGAGGGAGGGGCTAGTGGTACAAAAGGTAGTAACTGTGGGGATGGACTGGTAGGAAGAGCAGAAGATTCCATTATTAGCTGAGGGAGGGCAGGATAGGCTTCCCTGAAGAGATAGGTTTCAGAGATCGCCTAAAAGTGAACAGAGTAGGCGATAGTCTGATAAATTGGGGTAAAGAGTTCCAGAGGATGGGGGAAGCTCTGGAGAAGTCCTCGAGACGAGCATGGGAGGAAAAGACAAGGGAGCTAGAGAGCAGGAGGTCATGTGAGGAGCGGAGAGTACGGTTTGAGTGATATTTGGAGACAAGATTGGTGATGTAATTTGGGTCAGAGTTATAAATGGCTGTATATGTTATTGTTAATGTTTTGAATTTTATTCGTTGGGCAATGGGAAGCCAGTGGAGGGATTGGCAGAGAGGGGTGGCTGATACAGAACCGTTAGTAAGGTGGATGAGTCTGGCAGCAGCATTCATAATAGACTGAAGAGGGGATAGCCTACGTTGAGGTAGGCCAATGAGGAGGGACTTACAACAGTCAAGGCGAGAGATAACAAGGGAGTGAATAAGTTGCTTAGTAGTTTCCGCGGTTAGGAACGGGCGTATCTTGGAGATGTTGCGAAGGTTAAGTCTACAAGATTTGGACAGCGATTGGATTTGGGGCTGAAAAAAAAGATGGGAGTCTAGGATTACATCTAGCACCCTGGCATGACAGGAGGGACTGATGGTTGTGTTATTGATCTTGATGGAGAAGTCAGGGAAGGGGGCACGGGCTGGGGGGAATACTAAGCGCTCAGTTGTGGAAAGATGGAGTTTGAGGAAGTGGAGTGACATCCATGCCGATATGTCACTTAGTAGGTTAGTTCGTTGTTTAAAGTTTGCTTGTTCAAATTCTGTCAATGCTTTAGTGTGCATCCATAAATACTAGTAGTATTGTTTATTGCAGTTATAGTGGCCTTATCCCAAGCTTTACCAAAAAGTGAAATAACAGATTTCAGGTTAATTTTTTCCCCAAATTAGGACTGAATCTTTTGTACTTGAAATATGTGAACCCATAACACATGTATTTATTATTCTTACCTGAGTGCTCTGCCCATTGTCTCATAGTTCATGTCAGGTTTATTCTTGTGCTTTCCCCAAAGCTTTGAAACAGCCTTAGAATCTACCAGTTTGAAAATGCCTTTCTCTCGCTGAGTCCATTTTATGTACTTTGGACATGTAGCCTTGTCTTGAAGCAAAGCTAGCAAAAATTCCCAAAGGTAAATAGTATTACCTGAAAAACAAAAGAGGTCAATTAGACTAAAGTATAATTTCATTATATCTTGCATAATATAAATTGTAAATAATCAAGCAGGTCAAAATATGAAAACACGCAACTTCTTGTTTAACCCCTTCCTGCCTAAGGGTAAAACAGATGTTAATGCCTAAGCACAATTTTGCAACTTTGGCATGTGTTCGTAATATCATCACAACTACTTTGTACATTCAGGTGAATTAAACCTTGGGGTTTTTTTTTTAGGACAAATTTGGCTTTCTTTTGGTGGTAAATGATAATGGATATCTCCTAATTTTTTGTTTATTATCAAAGGAAAAACTGGCCCAAAATGGTAAAAAAACTAAAATCTTTTTTCTCCCGATGATTGCAGCGATACCACATATGTGTATGTTAGTTGTATGTACCTGTTGTTTTTATTATCCTACCTAAAACACATTGACACAAAAAAAAAAATCCTGCCCAAAATATACTGTCCTTGACCATTGACCCTGACCTCTGACCCTTACTTGACCCAAACACTAACCCTGGCACTGACCTAAATCATACTTTGTCCTAGGTATATTATATTTTTATTAATATTATTACTAATACTTTTATTTATTTTTTACATACAGTTATGTTTTTTCTCTCTGCAAGGAGAGAGAAAGATACTTTGGAGTTGATTTACTAAAAGCAAATATTCTGTGCACTGTAAGTGCACTTGCTCCAGAGCTTATTACATGAGGGAAAGTTTCACTTTGTAAAGAATACCAAATCATATGCAAGGAAAATAAAAAAAAAACAGCATTTTTGCTTGCACATGGTTGGATTAAATAAATCAGCAGATCTTACCTTCAGATCTAAAGCAACTGCACTTGCAGTGTACAGTATATTTGCCTTTAGTAATTCAACCCCAGTGTATCTCTCTCCTCCATTCAGAGGAAGAAAGAAAACACAGGGGTATAGTTCACAGTGACTGATCACTGTGATAGCCAATCACAGACTATCACAGCAATCAGGTGACCTGGAACTGGGAGTTCTGGGCCCTGATCGTTTGTATGGGACCCGGGGCTCCTGGTGAGACCCCGGTCTCTGTGCTGAGAGCACACTGTGCAGGGGAGATGGCATAAAGCAGAACTTCCCCTTTAGGATGAAGTTCCACTTTAAATTCTCATGTTTACCATTTGTGCCCATTGGAACAAACCTCACTTTAGGGATGCCTTAAAAAAGGGGTCCCCTAACTTTCAATATAAAGGGCCAGTTTAATGCCCTTCAAACTTTAGAGGGACCAGACTGCGGCCAGGAGAAGTAGAAAATGCCCTAGCATCGGTGAGAGGAAACAATGCCATAGACTTGGTGGTCATTGGGAGTAAAAAAAAAAAAAAATTACCTTATTGTCAGTGGGAGGAATAGTGCCCCATCATTGGTGTCAGTGGCAGGACTGGTGCCCCATCATTGGTGTCAGTGGCAGGACTGGTGCCCCATCATTGGTGTCAGTGGCAGGACTGGTGCCCCATCCAGTGGCAGGATCCCATCATTGGTGTCAGTGGCAGGACTGGTGCCCCATCATTGGTGTCAGTGGCAGGACTGGTGTCCCATCATTGGTGTCAGTGGCAGGACTGGTGTCCCATCATTGGTGTCAGTGGCAGGACTGGTGTCCCATCATTGGTGTCAGTGGCAGGACTGGTGTCCCATCATTGGTGTCAGTGGCAGGACTGGTGTCCCATCATTGGTGTCAGTGGGAGGAATTTTTCCTCATATCAGTGGAAAGAATAGTGCCCCAAGGGCCAGATAAAGGCAAGCAGAGGGCCACATCTGGCCAGCAGGCAGCAGTCTGGAGACTCCTGCCTTAAAACAAACAAATCATTGATGGCTATTATGTGCCATTTAAATGGTCAGACACAACCCAGCTTACAAAATATATTTTTTGTAATGTAATGTGTCAGCCCCAGGCTTTTTTAAATATCTTGGGTACTTCAACAGTGAGACCTCTCTGCAATAATTTTTTCCTCCTGTTCTTGTCTAAAAGAGGAGTTTCAAGTGTTTTTCATCCACATTTGTAAGTTCAAAGTTTCTTCTACTTTATTCTCCATAACACAAAATGAAGACAAAAACCAACACGAGGAGTGAGACCCAAACATAATGGCCATGTCATATTTTTAAACACAGTAACTGAAGTAAAAAGATATAAGAGATATAGGAACCTGTCTGGTCCGTTAGCTATCCAGCTTCTTTAAAAAAAAAAAAAAAAAAAAATCTGTTTGGGTAGGCTCCCCATTTATGCCCAGGTTATTGATACCTAGATGTCCAGGCCAAATTTATCAGTGTCACGATATGATGGATAACGTGAAACTGATGGACTAATTTGCATGATTATACACTTATTACACTGTTTTAGGTATATATGAGGCTTCTATTTGGTACACAGTTAAACAATCCCTGCTCATATTTCACATTGCAGGCTGACAACTGGACAATCTGCAATTATTTATTTTTAAATTATATAATGGCAGAGAACATAATGGTAATTACAGAGCACAGCTGCAACTGTCACTGACATGGGTTTGTTTATGAACAAAGCTACGCGATTAGTATTGATAGTAGAAACCTGAAGCGGTTAGTGACAGCAGGGTCTCACAGCTAGAAGTGTGCAGAGCTGCGCATTCCTAGCTGAACATAGATTAATGAGACTGCTTTATAAATGGACCTACAGTATATGTTGCACAGTAACTTAAACAAACTGGGGTTGGATCTTGGCTAAAAACACCACAGAACCTATTTTGCAACTCACCAATGACTGTCCTAAGACACAAACCTATATTTTATGCCAATATCATATAGGCAGAAATTTTACATCGTAACTTATCTCTGCTGCCATTACCTTTTCCATCCTTGCTTTTTTTCTTTACAGATATATTTGGGGTAGTGGTAGGTGACTCTGGGCGAGGCATTTTTGGTTTTCTCCCTAAAGGAAAACATTAGCAAAAGAAAAACTTGAGCTTGTTTGTTGAAGAGTGTTTTAGAGTTTAAAGAAGAATTCCAGGTATGCTTCAACCAATATAACAATGTTCCAATGTCCCTGAAAGCTGGTTACTCCAGTGATCTCCAAATGCTTCTGGGCCCAGTGCTAAGCTGCTGGCCTTATGCATTGTGAAGTCAGGAAATCAGTTGCTCAGCACAGGCACCATTCAGAGAATGTCTTTGCATTTTCTGAATTAATGCAAAGCTTTCTCTGATTGGATGAGGTGGAAAGGTTGGATGGTGATGTCACGCTCTACACTGTGTCTAATCAAAGAAGGCTTTGCCTTAGTTTAGAAAATGCAAAGCATTCTCTGAATGACACCTGTGCTGAGCAGCTGAATTCCTCTACTCCGAATGAATCAGACCAGCCACCCAGCACGGAACCCGGAAGAAAGTGGACATAACTGGAGTAGCAATGTCTACTTGAGTTATTTCCAGATTTCAGTGGCATCAGCCAGGTATGGTTTATACATTGGTCTAAGCTGGACAAATGTAACCAAGTAAAAATATACCATACCTGAAATTCATCTTTAAGACAATTGATTTGTACAGTTATTTCCTCCATACCTTTCTTCCTCTTTGGTTGTTCATCCAGCTGACACTCTGCTGGATCTGCATACATGCTCTGGTGAATTTCCATCACTTCTGGAATTCCATCAACAGTGACAGAAACATGTGTAATGGGAGTGATCATCAGTTCATCTTCAGATGTACCAAAAATGTTAGCTTAAAGAACACAAATAAAAAGATGTCAATGCAAAGCATCATAGTGGAACACTTTATGTATAATTTTGTATAATAATGTGTAAAACAACCATGTAATGGAGAACCTGAGAAAAACTAGAACACTAAGTAGACCAGTTTCTTTGCTTCCATTTTTCACAAATCAATACCAATAAATAAAAGGCCATGTTGTTACAGTAATTCAGATCATTTACCAGATTAGATCAGTGTTATAGAACAGTGGTTCTCAACCTTTCTAATGCCACGACCCCTTAATACAGTTCCTCATGTTGTGGTGACCCCCAACCATAAAATTATTTCGTTGCTACTTCATAACTGTAATTTTGCAGTGGGAGGACTAGTGCCACATCATTGGTGTCAGTGGGAGGAATAGTGCCCCATCATTGGTGTCAGTGGGAGGAATAGTGCCCCATCATTGGTGTCAGTGGGAGGAATAGTGCCCCATCATTGGTGTCAGTGGGAGGAATAGTGCCCCATCATTGGTGTCAGTGGGGGGAATAGTGCCCCATCATTGGTGTCAGTGGGGGGAATAGTGCCCCATCATTGGTGTCAGTGGGGGAATAGTGCCCCATCATTGGTGTCAGTGGGGGGAAATAGTGCCCCATCATTGGTGTCAGTGGGGGGAATAGTGCCCCATCATTGGTGTCAGTGGGGGGAATAGTGCCCCATCATTGGTGTCAGTGGGGGGAATAGTGCCCCATCATTGGTGTCAGTGGGGGGAATAGTGCCCCATCATTGGTGTCAGTGGGGGGAATAGTGCCCCATCATTGGTGTCAGTGGGGGGAATAGTGCCCCATCATTGGTGTCAGTGGGAGGAATAGTGCCCCATCATTGGTGTCAGTGGGGGGAATAGTGCCCCATCGTTGGTGTCATTGGGGGGAATAGTGCCCCATCGTTGGTGTCAGTGGGAGGAAATAGTGCCCCATCATTGGTGTCAGTGGGAGGAAATAGTGCCCCATCATTGGTGTCAGTGGGAGAAATAGTGCCCCATTGTTGGTATTAGTCACACAAATGATGGGGCACTATTCCTCCCACTGACACCAATGATACTTACCTTGCTGACCCCTGCTCCAGCCTGGGCTCGCTCTCTCCTTACCTGTCAGCTGTCTTCCTTCTCTGGCCGCTCTCCTCTTCACTTACTCCGGCAGTTCCCTCGATCTTCTTAGATCTACGCGCGCGCTGCCGCTCGGCTCCTCCTCTCCAAGCTCCAAGCTCGCCGGTGATTGGCCGCCTGTGTGCCTCTCCTGAGCTACAGTTTCCGGTGGCCAATCAGTGGTGAGGAGGCAGAGTTGTTGAGGGATCCCGGAGGTGTGGCCAGGTGACAGGGCAGCGTGTCATCCCGCCCACACATCGACTGAGTCAGAGGAGCGGTGTCTCGGTTCCTAAGACCATCGGAAATATGTGTTTTCCGATGGTCTTAGGCGACCCCTGGGAAATGGTCGTTCGACCCCCAAAGGGGTCGCGACCCCCAGGTTGAGAACCGCTGTTATAGAAAATTGTTGATTGAACAAGATGTATCACTTTCAAGTATCTTAATCACGCACATTATGACACTATTTCCTATAGGTTATTTGCCACAGGTAGCCATTTCTAGAGATACCTCTATCCATAGAAACAGCTAGCTTGACTATATCAAGTTTACATACATTATGCGTTGCAATCTCTCAACTGTTTTTTTTTTTGTAAATCATATGAGCATACTAAACTCACCTAATCTTTTCTCATCCAGCAATGCATCTGGAGAATCCATATTAAGAAGTGCTTCTGCTGCTTCAATTGTTTCCATGGTCTCATCCCCATTCTGACATGATGCTTCAACTAAAAATACAGATTTTTTTTTTTTTTTTAAGTCACCAAGGTTTTGCTTATTTATATAGGATAAAAAAAATGCAAACCTATAATGTTGAAGTTAAGCATGGTGCAAAATGGTAGTGTTTTTCAAGTATTTTGGTGTTCACAACTAGAGGACAATAAATACATTTAATATATAAAATATACATTAAATATATCAGCATTATGATAGCATGAACCAAATGGTATTTATCACAATAAGCGGTTTCTGTTGGCCCATTTACATATTTTAGTGTATATCAGGGGTGCTCAACCTGTGCCCTCTGATTTGGCCCTTGGCCTCAAACCAGGGAAGTGCATGCGTGGGGTCAGCAATCCACTGATCGTGATCTGGGCTTGCCAACTCTCCATCCCAGAGCATCAGAGTGCATCAAGCCAGCACCAGACGAGCATGAAGTACAGTGGTTATAAAAGGTCTACACACCCATTAAAATGTCAGGTTTCTGTGATGTCATAAAATGAGACAAAGATAAATAATTTCAGAACTTTTTCCACCTTTCACCTATAAAACTGTACAACTCAATTGAACAACAAACTGAAATCTTTTAGTTGGTCGGAAGTAAAAATAACAAAACTAAAATAATATGGTTGCATAAGTGTGCACACCCTTAAACTAACACTTTGTTGAAGCACCTTTTGATTTTATTACAGCACTTGATCTTTTTGGGTATGGGTCTATCAGCATGGCACATCTTGACTTGGCAATATTTGCCCATTCTTCCTTGCAGAAACACTCCAAATCTGTTAGATTGCGAGGGCATCTCCTGTGCAGTCCTCTTCAGATCACCCCACAGATTTTCGATTGGATTCAGGTCTGGGCTCTGGCTGGGCCATTCCAAAAAGTTTATCTTATTCTGGTGATATCATTCCTTTGTTGATTTGGATGTATACTTTGGGTCGTTGTCATGCTGAAAGATGAAGTTTCTCTTCATGTTCAGCTTTCTAGCAGAAGCCTGATGGTTTTGTGCCAATATTGACTGATATTTGGAACTGTTCATAATTCCCTTTACCTTGACTAAGGCCCCAGTTTCAGCTGAAGAAAAACAGCCCCAAAGCATGGTGCTGCCACCACCATGCTTCACTGTAGGTATGGTGTTCTTTTGGTGATGTGCAGCGTTGTTTTTGCACCAAACACATCTTTTGGAATTATGGCTAAAAAGTTCAACCTTGGTTTCATCAGACCGTAACACATTCTCCCACATGCTTTTGGGAGACTTCAAATGTGTTTTTACAAAAATTTATCCGTGCTTGGATGTTTTTCTTCATAAGAAAAGGCTTCCGTCTTGCCACTCTACCCCATAGCCCAGACATATGAAGAATACGGGAGATTGTTGTCACATGTACCACACAGCCAGTACTTGCCAGATATTCCTGCAGCTCCTTTAATGTTGCTGTAGGCCTCTTGGCAGCCTCTCAGACCAGTTTTCTCCTAGTCTTTTCATCAATTTTGGAGGAACGTCCAGGTTCTTGGTAATGTCACTGTTGTGCCATATTTTCTCCACTTTATGATTACGGTCTTCACTGTGTTCCATCGTATATCTAATGCCTTGGAAATTCTTTTGTACCCTTCTCATGACTGATACCTTTTTACAATGAGATCCCTCTGATGCTTTGGAAACGCTCTGTGGACCATGGCTTTTGCTGTAGAATGCGACTAAGAAAATGTCATGAAAGACCTACTAGAACAGCTGAACTTTATTTGGGATTAATCAGAGGCCTTTTAAATGAAGACAAGTGTGTACGGACTCCTATTCAACATGACTTTGAATGTAATTGCTTAATTCTGAACACAGCTACATCCCCAGTTATAAAAGGGTGTGCACATATGCAACCACATTTTAGTTTTTTATGTTTACTTCCCCCCCTAAAAAATTTCAGTTTGGTTTTCAATTGAGTTGTACAGTTTATATCCACTGTATTTGGCCACGGAGAAACCAAGAGCCACATAAGCCAATGCTTCCTATGTAGGTGCCCCAGGTGGAGTGATACCAAGTGCACTTCACCTGGGACCTTTGTAGCAGCCTGGAGACAGAAAGTGATGCCAGCAGCAGCTGGAAGACGAAAAGAATGTTAGGGTCAGTGTATTAAACAACACATACACTGCGCCTTTGCAATGGGCATATTAGCACCTATAAAAGGGTTAACAACTATGAGGCTGCTTTCACACTGATCCGTAGGTGCAGAACAGTGCACCTGCAGCTTTCCGGAGGGATAGCTGCACTGAGCTATAGACTTGTTTATATATATATATATATATATATATATATATATATATATATATATATATATATATATATATAAATTTATTTCAGGTACTTATATCCTGCAGGTTTGGTGCATTTTCTGAAAGTGCACCATACCTGCTATGTATAATAGAAGTCTATAACAAAGTGCAACTAACCCGTCAACAATGACAGAAATTAGTTTTTGTATTAGTTCAACGGCAGGCTGACTGGCTTCATGTGGTACATCTTGGCTGATACTAAGTAAAATGCAGGTACGTACACTGCTTGCATTTAAAGTATATATTTAAATTATCATTTACAATGGATTATATGTAAAATCCTGCTATTACAGAAAAACTGAAAATAAACTCTGAATAGAGACAAAATTTGATAAGCATGTGAGTGAGCTGCATGTGATTTTTTTTTTTTTACATGATTTAGGTGTGGTTTACGTAGTTGGGTTTGGATGGAAACTACCAAAGTTGCAGCAAGCAAAGCTTTTTTTCATCAGTGCACCACAGCCATAACATGTGATGAGGCAGCAGTGTCAATACAGCCTCAAGCTGGGTATACACGCAGGAACTGGCCAACTTTCAGTATGTGTGTATCACTGTCTGTTCCAACAGCCAATGGCTACAATGCTGATCTGTGTATTCTGATTGTGGGGGGAGCCCCTGCTGTCAGAATATGAAACCACAGCAGGAGTGATCCCTACATCAACATCACTTGGTGAACGAAAAAAAAAAACCTCTTGTGTACATTCTGCTTTAGGCTGGGTACATATTCTTGATTTTTGCTAGAGCGATCATCACAATATCACCCTGCAGTTAAATGCAAGTGATCAAAATACTTAAGCCAGCCATAGATGGACCGAATTTTGGCTGGTTTAGCAAGAACCGGACAAGATTCAATCTATTTATGGAGAGGCTGATTGTACCCAAGTTGATCCATCAATCGACTTGGGTACAACCAGTCTGTTGGATTTTTAGCAAGCAATTTTCTGCCATCAGCTATAGCCTGTAGCAATAATCATTGTGTTCTACCAGCAAGGAAGGCTCCCCACATCCCCCCTGCCACAAGAACACAATAGTTCCGGGGGAGTGATTCTTCTTTCAACACTGACTGTATTGATGGGGGAAACGAGTGATTTTCTTTTGCAGGAAACAAAATAGAATAATCTATGGCTTGCTATAGGGAGCAAGTAATATTGTTGTACAGGATTTGTATAGACAACAGTTTGAACAGCATTTTATTTATTTATTTCAGGTACTTATATAGCGCCGTCAATTTACACAGTGCTTTACATATATATTGTACATTCACATTCACATTAGATTGTACGCCCTCAAGGGGCGTACAATCTAAAGTCCATAACTTACATTCATACATACACATACTAGGGCCAATTTAGACAGGATCCAATTAACCTACCAGCATGTCTTTGGAGTGTGGGAAGAAACCGGAGTACCCGGAGGAAACCCACGCAGGCTCAGGGAGAACATGCAAACTCCAGGCAGGTGGTGCCGTGGATGGGATTCGAACCCACGACCCTAGTACTGCCAGGCAGAAGTGCTAACCATTTAGCCACTGTGCTGCTCATATTATAATGTAAAGGGAGACAATATAGATACAAAACAGATCAAGACAAGAGGGTTAAGGAGGCATGTATCAGGTAGTATCAATTAACCGCTAATGATAGCACAATGCTTCAAGTTTGTGAGATCAGTCTTTGCTGCATCCATGTATGTATGGCAATTGCTAACAATTATTCCAAGGCAGTTGAGATCAAGAAATGACACTAATAAAAATCACCCGTCTGCACCCAGCCTTATAGTGAGATTCAGGATCATCCAGTGCTACTACAAAAGACTGAAATGATCAGTCTGAATCCTTCCACTAATCTATTTCGTACTGCTGTTAATTTAAAACCTTAAACAGTGAAGTTCATTTTACACTTGCATTCAGTTCTGGCTTAGTGATAATAGTATATATTAATACTCTATGGCTCAACTCAATCCAACAGTTCAATATCTCAATACAAAATAATCAGCTACAGGAATGGTTTTAATAACATACCGGGGTTCATGGTCAACAAATTAAGCCTAAATCAAACATTCAAGAAGTTGGTGCATAAGCACCCTTAGGTTTTACAGAAGAGCATGCAGCAGTGTGCTTTCTAGACAGTAGTCTGTCTAGGACTAGACCACATTCAGCCTGTTGCAACATTCATCCACAGCTGCAAAGTGTTGATTGAGCCATTTGTGGAAAGGCAAAAATTAGCTTGGTAATGGTACAAGATCCAGTATAGAAAAAACAAAGACTGTGCATATAATAAAATAGGGCAGTATATTGGTTGATGCATTTCAAAGCATACAAGGCACCTCCCTCTGCAAGGGCTGAGCAGTCCTTGAAAAGGAACCTATACTGTTGCCATAGTTGGTACTGTTGCCAGCTTTTTTTTTTTTAAGAATACTGTCATGTTTCTCCTAGTTTCAATGCATGTTTGCTGACCAGCATGTACATATAGGGCTTCAGGATACTGGATAAGCAGGTACTGCGAGGAGAAGATGGCAGACAAGTTGCTCATCTCCCTGTAAATCTGATCACATCATGATTCTATCCTTACAAAAAGAGGACTACAAACCTGTAAGAGTGAGGTCATCGTCTTCTATAATCTGTTCCTCTGCTACATCCAGGGAGTTTTCAGCAATCATGTCATTTGGTTCATCAACACATGTTAATCCGGAATAAGTGTGCAGTAAATCTGCATTTGGAATGTGCTCCACAATGACAGCAGGGAAGATGGAAGGGTCATCAAGCTGCAATAAAAGATAAAAGGAGGTCATTATATTTTTAAGAAAAAACTTAAAAAACACTAAAACATTGCCCTGGCAGAAGTGCATGGAATTTATCTTCTCCCTTTTTATTTAAAACGTGAACAACTTTGAATATACACCTAGCAGCCATAACTTTAGGACCACCCACTTAACATTGAGTAGGCCCCCCTTTTGCCCCCAAAACAGCCCTGATGCATCAAGTCATAGACATCACTAGACCTCTGAACCTATGCTGTGGTATCTGACATTAGGCAGTCAGTAGCAGATCCTTTAAGTCCTGTAAGTTGCGAGGTGGGGCCCCTATGGATTGCACTTGTTTTTCCAGCACATTCCACAGAAGCTCTATTGGATTGAGATGTGGAGGATTTGGAAGCCAAGTCAACCCCTCAAACACGTTATTGTGTTCCTCAAACCGTTCTTGAACCATTTTTGCAGTGTGGCAGGGTGCATTATCCTGCTGAAAGATGTCACTACCATCAAGGAATACAGTTTTCAAGAAGGGATGTACTTGGTTAGCAACAAAGTTCAGGTAGGTGCTATGTGCCAAGTAACATCCATGTGAATGGCAGGTCCAATGTTTCCCAGCAAAACATTGCCAAAAGCATCACACTGCCACCACCAGCCTGTACCATACTGCATTTTAGTGCCATCTCTTCCCCAGGTAAATAATGCAGATGCACCTAGCCATCTTCATGATTTAAAAGAAAAATGTGATTCTTCCATTGCTTGGTGGTCCAGTTCCAATGCTCATGTGGCCATTGTAGGTGCTTTTGGCTGTGGACACAGGTCAGCATGGGCTACCTGATCAGTCTGCAGCTATGCAGCCCCATACACAGCAAACAGAGATGCCAATTTTTTCTGCTTTGAACACATCAACTTCAGGAACAACATGTTTACTTACTGCCTAATGTATCCCACTGACTTTCAGTTGCCATTGTAATAAGATAATCAATGTTATTCACACAACCTGTCAGTGGTCATAAAGTTACAGCTGATCAGTGTATATAGTAAAAAAGCTGAACATTTCTAAATGTTACATATTAATCAACATTACCAAAGTATCTTCTAACCTACTGCTTGGCCACTGCCTTCGACAACCTATTCCTCAACCAGTCACTGAACTAAAAACAAGTACGGTGTGGGGGAATTCTGGCTTTTATTTGTGTTTTCATTTTATTTTTTTAACAAACTTAAATATGGTGGTCCCCATGTCCATACAGTATATAATTAGAAAGTGAACATTAACCAGGTTTCTAAAACATTAAAATACAGTGATTAACCACTTAAGGTCCACCCTATAGCAGTTTTACTGCTACTGGGCAGTCTTGTGCAAAATCATGTATATATATATATATATATATATATATATATATATATATATATATATATATATATATATATATATATACACACGGATTGCTTCTGCTGTGAACACTGATAGTAGAAGCCGATCTGCAAGTGTTGGTGAACGGATGTCCGCTGTCACCTGCCGATCGTCAGGCAGGACACAGAACAGAGGTCTGCCTATGTAAACAAGAGGAGGGGGAGGGGGCTGAAAGATCTTGTGTCCCTGCAATACTGGGAACATGATCCTTCACTTCCCCTAGTAAAAGCACCACCTAGTGTACACCAAGCACATAGCTAGGTGCACAGTTAACTCTATGATCACCCTAGATCAGTGGTTCTTAACCTGGGTTCGATCGAACCCCAGGGGTTCGGTGAGTCAGTCTCGGGGGTTCGGCGGAGGTGACCCACACCCGACTCATATGATTTGTGATGACATGCCCAGTGGTCGGTAAGCCGCGGCTCTTGTGTGCCGGGCGCCCGCTCCCCTCCCTCCTCTCGGGCGGCAGGGACTCAAATGCAATGATTGCCCAGTCTCGCTGCCACTCACATCCTGATAGCCAGTGATTGGCTGTCAGGATGTGTGTAGGCGGGGCAGCGTGACGAACGTGAGAGGAGCTAGGCTCCTCTCACAGTCCGCCCTGAAGACCAGAACGGCGCGGGAATACAGCGAGAGGAACGCGCGGAGCAAAGGTAAGTGAATTGACACAGGGGGGACTTGGGGACTTAATATGGGGGATGAATTATGGGGGAATGAATTACTATATGGGGGAGGAATTACTATATGGGGAAGGAATTACTATAGGGGGGATGAATTACTATATGGGGGGATGAATTACTATATGGGGGGGATGAATTACTATATGGGGGATGAATTACTATGAGGGATGAATTACTATGAGGGATGAATTACTATATGAGGGATGAATTACTATATGAGGGATGAATTACTATATGGGGGATGAATTATATAGGGGATGAATTACTATATGGGGGATGAATTACTATATGGGGGATGAATTACTATATGGGGGATGAATTACTATATGGGGGATGAATTTTCATACCGTTTGTTACAACATATCTTTGCGAGCAATCCTTTTCGAGGATGCTGGACATAAAGACGAAGAAAAGGAACAGACTTTGTTGCGAAAATGACATGAGAGTGGCACTTGCCAAGGTAATGCCGCGCATTTCTGAACTGGCCTCTGAAAGACAACAGCAGAAGTCACACTGATTTGCGGTAAATATTCATTATTTTGTTTTTGTGTGAAAATCATGTTTTAATGGTTTTGTTCTTTGTTCTTAATGGTTTTGTTCATTTTGTGCACCTATGTATAAATATATACCTATGTTTTGAATTTTAAAAATCATATTTTATTTTTCCAATTAAGAAGGGTTCGGTGAATGCGCATATGAAACTGGTGGGGTTCAGTACCTCCAAAAAGGTTAAGAACCACTGCCCTAGATGTTCAACCCCTTCCCAGCTAGTGTCAATAGTAGTGTCAGTGCATATTTGTACTATTATCACTGGTTCCCACAAAGTGTCAGGTACTGTAAAAATGTCCATTGCAATAATCGCAGTCCTGCTAGAAGTCGCTGATCCCTGCCATTACTAGTATTAAAAAAAAATAAATTAAAAAAATTCCAGTATATGTCCCATAGTTTGTAGACACTATAACTTTTGAGCAAACTAATAATTATATGAATATTGGGATTTTTTTTTTAACCAAAAATACGTAGCAGAATACAGTTTGGCCTAAATTTATGGTAAAATTTTATTTAAACTTTTTTTTATTAGAAATGTTTTATAGCAGAAAATTTAAAAAAGTGTCTGTTTTTTTTAGAATTCAAAAAGTAAAAAATGCAGAGGTAATCAAATCCCACCAAAAGAAAGCTCTATTTGTGGAAACCAAATGACATAAATTTCATGGACAGCATTGCATGACCACGCAATTCTCGGTTAAAGTAACGCAGCGCCGTATTGCAAAAAATGGCCTGGTCAGGAAGGGAGTTAAATCTTCTGGAAGTCTAATTGTTATACACATACAGTAAAAGATCTGCTTGATGTGTTTATCTAAAGATCCACTGAAAAGATACCACACTGTTTTAATAGGTTAGTTTATAGGGGATATCTGCAGTCCCCCACAGGTAAAGGGGGACTACAGGGAGCTACAAAAAACAAGACAGTACACCAAACAGGTTTTCGTTTTGTCACATCATAAGAAAACAGCAACAGAGTCTATTAAGATAGTGCTATAGTAAATTATAAGCTGCTCCATCAGGTCTATTGACAAGAAGATATATAGTTATACATATCTCATATATAGTTTATGTAGATTCAATTTTGGGCCTCAATAAGTAGGCCGGTATTGCTAACATCTTGTTCTAATATTACATTTGCCGGGTGGTTCAGCTAATACAATCCCTTCAATAATTTTGTTACTTAGACACCTGGACCAAGCAAACAAATCAGGAATGGACTTACGAGAAGTAATTTGGTCATGTATGGTGTTCAGCATCCAAATAACATATACATGTAAAGTACAAACGGTGATCAACAGCCAAATAAATAAGAGCTCTTCTGCTCTTTCCACCGCAGTGTGCAACACTAATATACACACAGATTTCTCACCAGAACTATACAACCCCTTATTGCTAAGCAGGTCATATAAAGTGAAAATGAAGTACTCCCAAATGGCCACCAGACACCACTCTCCTCCAGACAGAATCAGGTCTCTGCAACTACTGCGCTCCTCACACCAGTATAGGCAACCCATATAAAAAAAAAAATATTCTTCATAGAGTAGTATTAAAAAACACTTATTAAAATAAAAAATATTTGCCCTCTGGGTTAGTACATAAAGGTCGGTATCAATAAAACACAAAAAATTCCCACTTCCAGTTCCCGGCTTCACTTCAGTCTCGATGCGTTTCATCACTGGGACTTTCTGAAGAGCCAGCAAGCTGCTACAGCTTTGCTTTCTATGACCTGAATAGCAATGAGGAGTCATACAGTGCTGGTGAGGGTTATGTGTGTATATTAGTGTGGTGACTGTAGTAGAAAGAACAGAAGAGCACTTATTAATTTGGATGCTTTTCAACTTTTGGACGTAACACTTATATGTTATTTAGATGCTGAACACATTTTATGGACTTTACACTCATATGTATTATTATTGCTTTTTCACTATAATTTTGTGGATTGGGGATTAATAGTCTTTGTCATTGTGCATTTATGGAATGATGTTCTAATTTGTCTACAGAATTATTTTTTTTTTTTTCTATTAGCGCTGGCAAATTTATACCATTTGTTCTTATCTGGGGGATAGAAATTTTCCAGCAGTTTGGGATTGAGGAGTGGTTAGTGCAGGTTTTATAGCATACATGGTGACCATCAGTAATTAAATTCTCATGCCTAGACTTTGACCACAACGCCCAGATACAAAGTCACATTGATCCGAGAGATTTGGTGTTCCTGGCACATATTACTTGGTCATCCCTACCATACTCTGACAACACTTATTATGACCAACAAATACTTACCCTCTCCATATGCCCTATTAAAATCTTCTCCTCCTACTCTTTTCAAGAACTATGTTCACCAGAAGCTTTCACAATCTATCAATCTCCAAAACTAATTTATATATTAAATATTATAAAGG